TGCACTAGCCAGAACTGGGTGAAAGCACACCTCTGGTTATAGCCTTTACTTGCTCATCAAGCAGTCATGAGTCCAGTACGGCCCTCACATCACAACCTACTTCTGAGGCAATGTCACCCCATCAAGAGATGGTAGAGCAGTCAGAGTACCTTGATTTTTTGCAGCTCAAATCTTGCTGTAAGTCAGCCTCAGCCTGCTTCATCTGACTGAGACCCTGATAGCCTCCAGACACTGACAGCATATCCTGTCTGACCGAGAATAGCAATGAACAATTAGTTATCAGTATACTGATGAAACTGTTCCTCAGCTGACAAATGTCTCCCAGTGGCTTCATGTCTACTTTGAAAATTGGGAGAAAAGCAATGAGGCCTATAACACCTCACAAGGGAGCACCAGGCTGATACTTCTGTCCTTCCCACTATCTGAACCCACTCACTAAGGAAGGAGCAGAACCACTGCAAAATAGTGCTTTGTTCTTCAACCCTTGCAGTCCCAGGATACCCTGGTCAATTGTATCAAAGGCCACTGAAATGTCTAAAACAACCAGGGAAAACTCCATATTCCATCCAGGTCCCAACAAAAGTCATCAAGAGTGACCAATGCAGTCTCCATCCCATGCCCAGGCTTGAACCTAACTTTAAAGATCCAGCTGATTCTTTTTTCCTAGAGTGCTCATAGCTGTTCAGTGCTCAACATCTCAGTACTACTTCCTTCTGAATAAAGGAAGGTTAGAGACAGGCTGATAGTTATCAGGGATAGCTAGACCTGGCAATGGCCCCTTAAGTAAGGGGCTTACCACAGCCTCTTTCAAGATTGCAGGTAACACCCCACTCCTGAAGCAAGGTGTTAATCTGAAACTACATTGATCCAAGTCGCATGTCCTTGAAGTCCATAGGCCAAAGTGAGTCCCAGATAACAGGGCAAGATGTTACTCCAGTCATGTTATTGGATTCTACCCATAAAGAGCCAAAAAATGTTTAAATCTGAGTGACTTTATCAGCAAATATGGTCCTGTGATCAGGAGCTCTACCTGTTGCCCCATCCCCAAAAATTAATTGGCTACCTAAAGAAGACCATAGAAGTAACAGCCAGTAGTATTTCATTTGCCTCCAGTTCCAGCCATCCTCTATATCCTGAAAGTAATGGCAACAGTCACATGACCAACTCACGCAGCTGAGCCGAGAGCCTCAGTTACAAATAAAGTCCACCAAATAAAGTCCCAATAGTTACAACACAGGCAAATCCATTGTTCATCCATCCTGGTTAGCCATTGCCAACTAAGTAAATCAAAACTATATTCATTCTGTCTTTTCCAAATCTTCATATTTCATAGCAAGCATGACTGCTGAGACCTGATTTGGCTCCATTTAAGCTAAGTCTACCACTCATCTTTAAGGAACCAGATCCAGGATTGCTCCAAACACTCATACATCTCTCTCTCTCTCTCTCTCTCTCTCTCTCTCTCCTTCTTGACAGCCATATTACACTAAAATCAAACTCCACGAACCCTCCAAGAAAGTGACTATAACCAGATGCCATACTTATATTTAGTTGTGCTTGTGTAAGCATTCTGTGGGTACATGTAAGCGTATATACACATGCACGAACATAAACACACATGCTCATTAACCAGCTTATGTTGTTGATTACCTGGGAAAGCACATTTGGAAAAATCATGTTCTTATTTTTCCATTCCAAAGACTGAGCTCATCTTGGCAACAATAAAATATTATCTGTGATGGTTCTGACAAACTGAACCAAAACCAGACTGATTCTCTGATTCTTAATGTCTTGGTTATTTCTTACTCCTTTTGCATTTGCATAATGCTACCTGCCCCAAAATAGCAAAGAAAAGTACGAATGTATTATATGCAGACTAATGCAGTTATCTACTTATTTACTGCAACTACATGGCTAGATGCATTAGATTTTCTTTCCTGAAATCTCAATCTTGGAGTGGATTTGGGTTTCTTCTCCCCATTGCTGCCCTCCCCAAGCTTTGTTGCTCTTTCCCCAGGAAGATTCCAAGAACAGACATGGGAAAACTCCTCCCTGGCTATTTAACTTCAAGTAGAGAAATTCACTTTTCTGGAAATCCAGAGGACTAATCCATAGGGCAAATGTGGATATGCTGCTGATTTAAAAGGAATGTTTAGAACTGCCTAAACAAAACTGAGTTGGAACATTTCACTTCTGTGTTGAGTCAGGGTCTTAAACATATTATACAAAACCCAAACATATTTAAGAATAGCTATAGTAAGAGATAAAATAAACATAACTGGTCCCCCTTCCCCATCCTCTCCCAGTCCCCATGTAATTCAGTCTGGAAGGTGGTCCTTGCCGCATCTACTAGAACATTTGTTTTGCTCTGGATATATTCAAAATTGAATTGTTCTGGAGAGGTTAAACTCCCATCTGAACAACCTCTTCTGTTGGACTTCCTGAAGCCATTGAAGTGCAGCATAGTCAATCTTAAAAGTAAATACAGCAGTGGTATAGTTTTTTACAAGATGTACAGTTTCACAGCACTCCTCAGGGATGCTCCAATTTAACTGAGGTTTTGAAAGTGTCTTGTTTTGAAATATCATAGGATTGTGAGCTTTGTCATCCCCCACCTTGATAAGAATCATAGGGTTGGAAGGGACCTTGGAGGTCTTCTAGTTCAATCCCCTGCCCAAGGCAGGAGTCCTCATACCATCTCGGACAAATGGTTCTCCAATCTTTTCTTGAAAATCTCCAGTGATGGAGCACCCACAACTCCAGGAGGCAAGCTGTCCTACTGCTTAGTAGTTCTCACTGTCAGGAAATTCCTCCTTATCTTCCTCTGACAAGCTTCTACCCATTGCTTCTTGTCCTACCCTCAGGTGCTATGGAGAATAAATCAACACCCTCTTCCCTGTGGCAGCCCTTCAAGTATTGGAAGACCGCTATCATGACTCCCCTCGGTCTTCTCTTTTTTAAACTAAACATACCTAGTTCTTTTGGCTGTTTTACATAGGATTTAGCCTTGAAAGCCCTTATCATCTTTGTTGCTCTTCTCTGCACTCTTTCTAGGGCCTCAGCATCTTTTTTGTATTGTGGTGGCCAGAACTGGATGCAGTATTCTAAATGTAGCCTCACCAGTGCCATGTAGAGCGGTACGATCACTTCCCTTGATCTTATTATTATCCCTCTGTTGAGACAGCCCAGGACTGCATTGGTTTTTTTTAGCAGCTGCAGCACACTGCTAACCCAAGTGGTGGTCCACCAGGACACCTAGATCCCTCTCTTAGGCACTACTGTGGAGCCAGGTAATACCTGTGCAACTGTTTTTTCCTGCCTAAGTGCAGGACCTTACTGTACTCTCCACTGAACTGCATCTTGTGGATAGGGCCCAGTGCTCAAGTCTGTCAAGATCCTTCTGAATCTTGAATCTATCTTCCAAAGTGTTAGCAATTCCCCCCAGCTTTGTGTCATCTGCAAATTTGATGAGGCCCAGTGCTCAAGTCTGTCAAGATCCTTCTGAATCTTGAATCTATCTTCCAAAGTGTTAGCAATTCCCCCCAGCTTTGTGTCATCTGCAAATTTGATGAGTGCCCCTTCAATCCCCTCATCTAGATCATTTATGAAGTTGTTGAAGAGCACTGGGCCCAAGGCAGCACCTTGAGGTACCCCACTGCATACTTCCTTCTACATAGATGTAGTTCCATTAAGGACTACACACTGAGTGCGGTTAGTCAGCCAACTGCAAATCCAGTAGTGGTTCTGTCTATCCCACATTGTTCTATCTTGCCAAGAAATAGGCTGTGGTCTATTTTATCAAATGCTTGATAAGAACTGATTCCATTCCTGTCAAAAGCATTGGTAGTATGCTCTTTATAATAGCGTGGGGTCCTGTGCACAGTCTGGCCCCCATGGTTGATTTTAATTGTACACAGTCACTTAACACCTTTTGGTCCACTATTGATTTATCAAATTTGCATACTGCTAGATTCAAAATAGACTATTAGCAGGTTACATCTCTGAAATCAACACAACACCAGTACTCTACCGTCGCTGGGCTTCCCTTCTTGGTCAGGTCACTCAGTGGTAGGACAAAGTGCTAGAGTTACGTGTATTTCTAATAATACCTAGACAGTCCTAAAAACAATTGTACCTGGCTTTTGATTTTTGGGACAATTATGGCCTCCATTTTTGCCTCCTGAACAAATGAAACATTGAGGATAGGCCATATGGCCTAACCCATAGGCCAACTGCAGGTATGCTGCTTATCCAAAAAGAACCTCTTGAAACTATACTATACTGCTACTGTTTATATATGATGGAAGGACTGCACTGTTTGGGGGCTGCTGCAGGAATCGGAAGAACCAGGGAAAGTCAGAACATTAAAAATAATATGCTGTCTATTGGACCTAGAGTCTGATTATGTATTTATTTAGATTCCATCCTAAACAAAGATGGAAGCATTTTTAAGATACAGAATTTTAGAGAAGGAAAAAATAGTAATATCAATATTTGAAACATATGTGAATATACATTCACATTTACCTTTGTTTAAATAATTCAGAGAGAATAATGGGTGCTTAGTCTTAATTTGCATGTTAAATTTAAGCAGCTGCTTCTGCCAAATGTCAAAAAGAGCGTTCCCATTCTATGTTGAGTGAAATACTAATAATGGACTCCAGGTCCAATAAAGAGCACCTTATTTTAATGTTCTGCCTTTCCCTGATTCTTGCTGGTAATTTACTGTAATAAAATAAAATAAATACCAAATAAAATCAGAGAAACAAGAGGCAAGCCATTCTGCTGCATACCTGAAGGAACTTTCTAATTAAAAAAGTAAAAAAAAAAGCTTTTTACTTTTACTATATCTGAATAAGTACTGTTCTTATAGATGTGCTTCTTAAATTGATTTATTTGTTGCAGTCATATAGAAGAATATAAATCATTTATCAAGTATGATGAATTTTGACCTGGCAGTCTTAACATTTCCAATGATTTTTGCTGTTACCTGTTGTAACCAATCTATAGAAAATAGCCTTGATTTATATTGCACTATAGTGAGAGGAAGATGGGGAGGAAGAGAGCAAGACAGAGTGAATTATTACTGCAGCTAATTTATTGGATAAAAATTTGCTGCAAGTGATTGGACTCATTGTTGTGCATTCCGGCATCTAACCTCTCCTAAAACAAAAGGACCAGAGTGGACTCATTCCTGGTATAGTAGTTGTTCTCTCCCATTCCAATCAATATTGCCTTGTGAAGCTACTGAAGCCACAACATGTAGCTGTACTGTGTACGTACTTCGATTAAAAACATTAAGATTCCTGCACAGGAGAAGCTCTAGTAGGAAAACATTTAGTTAAACTAAACATTTGGATAAAAAAGTAGAAAACCCAAGGGCTATATATCCTGTTATGCCCATACATACTTGCATAGTTATTTCAGGCTTTCCCTTTCCCCATAAGACACCAAGGGTAAAATCAAGGTATGTACAGGCCAGTTTATTTGGTATGGCAGAAAAAGTGTGAACACGATTTATTTTCCTGCATATGTTAAAAACATCAGATACAGATTCACAGCACTGGCTTCATAGTGACGAAATCAAAGTTATATGACTCTGGCAGACCCTGGTGCTTTGTCTCGTTGAAACGAATCCAGCTGAAGACAGGCAGGCCTTCCTCCACAGGTGGGCCATTGATGGCATAGGCTGTAAACTCTGCAGCCATATTGATATCTGCTATCTATACAAAATTGTAAGAGAAGAAGTCATGTAAGAGAAGAGAAGAAGCGGTGGGTGGGTGTTTCACAAGTACAACATGCACAATTTATTTTTGAAATTTCCTTTAAATCATATGAATGGATCACTTTAATTCATACTGCTTTTTTTTCTTTTCTTTTCTTTTTTTTTGCTTTCTATACAACATTAAAAGAAAGCAAAATTATTCAGAAGTGGCCCAGGACAATCTAAACTATGATCATTGGATCACATATGCCCCAAACCAGCCCATTTATTCAACAAGGTGAATTAAAGACCAGAATGGAGATGCTGAGTCATACATTAAATATTGGTCAGATATGATTTTGTGTACTTTAATTATGTGTGGGGCAAGGAGAGAGGCCTGAAAAATTTCCTACATCTAAATAAAAAGGGTAAGCTGCCCATGATGATGCATGACAACAAGTCTGATTAACAGTTGATAAACCAAGTTTCCCCCCTCCATAAATATGATATCTGCAACATTTTCAATACATAGTATAATTTGGATTTATCTGGGTTTTGTCTTGAGCTGGCTTTGTGAGCAGATTATCCATCAGATATTAAGCCACACTCACTAGCAACAAAAACATTGTGAGATTTCAACATCCAGCCTCCTCAGTGAGATTCTTAATGAGATCCATATTCTTGTCCTGTTTCTTCTTCGACCAAAAGATACCCAATCTTGTAATGTGCTGTACATGGAGCTGTCTTTGAAGACCATCTAGAACTTACAATTGGCACTGAATGTGGTGGCACAGATAGTAATGGGCATCTCTTGTTACACCCATGTGACACCTTTGCTCCGTGAGCTACACTGACTCCCAACAGGCTTCTGGGTATAATTCAAGTTGCTAGTTATCACTTATAAAGCCCCTCATGGCATAGGACCAGGATATTTGCAAGGTGGCCTGCTCCCAACAATATCTCTCCATTCCACACACTGCAGTAGGAAGGGCATATTCAGGTCCCTTCCTTGAAACAATGTCATCTTATGGGACCCTGGAGATGTGTCTTCTCAGTGGTGGCCCTTTGGAATAATCTTCCCCTCAGCATAAGATGGTCCCAACCCTGCAGACCTTTAGAAAGGCAGTTAAGTCCTGGCTGTTCCCTCGGGCCTTTGGGCTGGAATGTGTAGAGTTCCCATCCATGGGATTTATACTACACTTCAGCTGTGTTTGCCATTTATGGTCTATATGGTTTTAATGATATGGGTGTGGGTTTTTTTGTATTTGTTGCTTTTGACTTTTTCTTTCTTTTTTTTGTACGCCACCTAGAGTCACATTGTCTAAGTTGAGTGGCCATGTAAATGCTTTAAATAACTAAATCAACCAACCTTTCTGTTATTCTTACTTGGCCCATATTTCAATTAACTCCTTTAACTATTTTCCCTCACAGTTCCTGCTATCCATTTCTCTCTTTGCCATCCTGAACTAAAAAGTGTGTGACAAAAGAATATTTGAATTTTCTGTTACTGTATGAGTCTTCTATATCATTGCAAAATAGATAGATAAAATGATAGGTCAGTGTTCAGAATTTCTGAATCTTCCTTCCAGATAATCAAAGAGCCTACATGCAGTTTAACAACAGAGACTATGGTATTCCTTAAGTAGCCAATATTAATTTCTCAAGGATAGGAGCAAGGAATCTATGGCTCTCCCAACCGTTGCTAAACTACAATTCGCAACATCCACCACTGTTAGCTATGCTGGCTAGGGCTGCTAGAGACCCCTTGCCTCTATCTTAAAGGGAGAATTAAACATTTTACTCAGTTTGTACTGGTCTGTGGCATGAAGCTGATATAGTTCACAAGCTGCCTCTGAAATGGCTACATTTTACAGCCTTAGCACAAAAACAAGTATTTACACTGAATTCTCATTTTATTTTCAACTGTTAATTGGATGCAAGCTGCTCTCAATGGAAATGTGATAATAATGATGAGAATGATTGTCAAAATAACTGTTGGACTGCTCAGCTGCTGGCACCTGTACTGGTAATATATGATTGTCAAAATAACTGTACTGTCTGCTCAGTTGCTAGCACTGTGCATGTAGAATTAAGTGAGTCAACGAATGTTTTTCCCATCTCACAAGTAACTATAGTGGGGCAATTCCTTTCGGAATGTTTACCTTAGAGTCATAGCATCCAGCTGGAACAGGTCTCTTGTGCTTTAAGTCTTCCCGACAGCAAATGGTATTGCAAGGATTGTGTCTTGCATATGGATCTTTCTTATAATCTGGAAAATAAGAGGAGAGGATGAGTACGTTTTGTCACTCCTGCTTAAACATGAATTAACCTCATTTCTGAAAAGTCAGAACACTGAATTTGATTCTTGCCTTTCCTCCAAAGAACTTGGGGCCATTTTCTCGCCATCCCAGTTGGATTTCATCTATGATGTAGGATAGAATGAGAGAGTAGAAGAGAGGGTCTCCCAAGATTACCCTGCAAGCTTTACCTGTTTATTCTAATGGGGAGATTTAAGTCTGGTCACTGCACTGAAGGCCAGTAAGGAAGCAGAATCATACCCCAAAACTGGATTACAAATAATTGGATAATGTTCTGTGCCAGATATCAAATCATTCAGAATTATAATGTAATCACTGTTGTGTAGAATGTAGATTCTCTTGGGTGATCTAAAAACTAGATATTTACAGACCTGATGTTAACAACCACATAGCTTGAGTCTTACTGAAAAGTAGTTAGTCAATATCAGATTTTAAGAACTGTACATGCAGGCTATTTCCTCTGGTGCCTAAAGTATAATTAAAGCTCTGAGAAGTTGTTTAAAGGTAACTAATTGCAATTTGGCTCTCATCACTCATCAACCTGGAAAATTGTATCCAAAGTATAAGGTATTTAAGATTCAATACACTTCTTTCCTTGTTCTAACTAGATTCAACACACAATGGCCAAGATTTTCACAGTTTGACATTGTAAAAGGTGAGTAGACATTGCTATTGCAAAACAAATGCTTGGTAATTAGTTTTTTTATGATGTAGGAGAAAGCAATTTAAAAAAAATCAATGGAAAAATTAAAAATGGCATACTATTATATCTCATGATGTACTTCATGGCCTCCATATCAGTCACTTTCCCTTGGTCCCGTCGGAAGATTTTTGCTCTGGGGGCCATTTCATAAGAAAAGTCCAAGCCATACTTTTGAACATATTCTGCATATCCACTCATATTATAGATCATTTTATGGAAAGGGATGTTGTAGGAAGGCCAGTATCCTGCAAAACAAGGCTTTACCAGTGAATGGGTTCAGCTGGAGCTTTTTGCACATTGCTTGAAAGTTCTCAGTTGAGCTGCAAGAAACATTAGCCAGGTTCTAAAACACTCTTTGAATCCCATGGAAATCAAAGGAATGCAAGCCAAACTAGCATGGCAGAAGAATTTAATAAAAAGAGGTTTCACTTGGAGAAGCTGAAGTATTCAAGGATCCTCAAATTCAGCAAAAGAAAGTGAATTTATATCATATATCATCTTTAGCACAATGGAAATTTGTATTTAGTGCTGAAGTGTCACACACGCACAAATATTTCTATAAACACACATTTGGAATTCCTAATATGCGGCAACTAATGTTTAGATTATTTGCAACTTCCATTAGGAAGCAAAAGTGACTGTTTTTAGCTGAGGCTATTTG